CAGAGACTGAGATATTGTCCCAACGTGGGTTTGGGTGGCAAGGCCAGTCCTCCTAAAGGTGCCTGTTCATCTGCTGTGACCTTGGTACGATTCTGGTGGCTGCCCTCCGTGGGCATCCTGGGTGGGGGCCCAGAGCTCCGAACAGCCAGACGTCCCCTGGGCCCCTTTCCTTCTGTCCCTGCTAACAGTTGGCTTTCCCACTCAATTACAGTTTTTGCCTGAAGCTTGTCTACACTGTTTACAACCTAGCCTCTGACTCCAACTGTACCCTGTGCACAGAAAATAACATAAAAGCAAAAGCATTTAAAAGACTGTCGCACGGTTTGAAAAGTGTGGTGTGAAATGATTTCTCTGTAGAACAGGTCATGCCAGGCGACTCCTACTTAGTCCATGTAGGAGATTGTGTCTCCCCTGCCCCCATCCCCCTGCTTTCTCTGGTGCTGTTGGCCAGGCTGGCTGCCTTCCCCTCACCCTGCACCCCTGCCTTCACCCCTCTAGCTCTGCTGCCTGGCCTTTTGAGTGACTCAGCTTTGTGTATCTGTAGAGATCAGAGAGCCACAGATATGATGGGCTCGTTCCCCCAAGATTTCCTTGGCTGGGTCCCACGGAGTCCAGAGGATGTGACTTGGGAGGCAAGCATTCAGCCTCTCCTCTGTGAGTGGGGACACTACTCCACTTGCCTCGGGGTGGCGGGGTTGGGGGGAGGCTGGGAGGATGTGGTGAGGAATGAGTGTGAGGTGCCCAGCCCAGCCCTGGCACGCGAGTGGCCCTCTGTGAATGTCACCACCACTGCATCTTCCAAGCCAGCAGTCCCCAGGTTGGTCTACGCCTGTGATGGAGTTCCAGCTTCACTGTCAAGGAGCAGGGTTTCTTAGCCTTACTTCTTCCCACGGAGGGTTGCTGGGAGAGCCCCTGAGCTAGTGCATGTGAAGCTGCTGTTTGGTAATAGTTGCTACCATGTGGGGGAATCTTCTAGGACTTTCATAGCATTATCTCACGTGATGTTGGATGAGAAAATACAGACTCAGATAAAGCAACTTTCTCAAGGTCACACAGCCTTCCAGGGATAGAGCTGAGATTGAGCCCGGGCCTCTCAGATCCCAAAGCCAGTCTCCTTAACTGCTCTGGACTCCAGAACATGGGTACCTAACTGGGGAGCTAGGATGCTATGAACCCACTAAATTTGAATGGAAAATGTTACATTTTTCTGCAGAAAGGTTTAAGGTTTTTAATCATGAGTATGATTTTCTCTTTCCTTTCTGGCAGTATTCATGAGATGTCAGATGAAACAATTCCTGCTTTTGCCATTATCAAAGGTTGGCTTTGGTGTCTTCCCACAAGGTCAAAAGGGCCTCTGAACATCCCTAACTTTCTCCTTGGTATTAGGCCAGCTAGTAGGTAGTATTTGGATTGTGTCATTATTAGTTAATCTGATCTCAGAGACGAGTGGAAATGTGCAGGCTAAGAAGACTGGCAGACGCCGCCCCGCAGCCTGGCCGCCACCCTCACGCGCCGTCATCGGGGGTCGGGGGCAGCAGCGCTCCGTGGCTGGGGTGCTTGGGGTGAACCAGCCTCTCAGCCCAGGCTGGCTCCCTGGCTCCTCCCTAGTGAAGGACAGAGGATAAAGCCAGAGCGTGATCAAGTGGCGTGTTTGGGAGGATGGTCGGTTCAGCCCTGGCAGCGCCTTCAGCCAGAGGCACACTCTGTCCCCTACATGGTTAAATGGAATCCCGAGATCTTGGGAGTGGGAAGGCAGTGGAAGAAAGAAGAGAAATAGGGGAGAGAGAGAGAGAAAATTGTGTTGGCGATGGCTTGGGATTTATTTATTGTGCTCTTGATTAAGCCCGTTCTGCAGCAGGCGCGGGGCTGGTAAATACACAGGCTGATTCATTAGTTTCCGACCATCTGCTTCCCGGGCAGGGAGCTGGGGGCCAGTGGACCCTGCAGGTTGGGGCAGTGTGGTGCCGGCAGCCAGGTTGGAGCCCCCCTGACCTGACGGAGCTGGCCTTGTCAGTCTTCCTGGGGACAGACAGGCCGGGCACAGCTAGGAGCTGGGAGGGGTCCGACCAGGGGGCTGCAGAGGCTGAGGGAAGGGAAGGCGGGAGGATGGAGAAGGACCAGCGAAAAGGTGAGGTGCGGGTGGTTCACAGCAGTTGTGGGTTCACAGGAATAACATCAATGTTCAATATGAGATCTATTAATATTAACTAATTGTCATTATATTAACAACTAATTAATATGATGACAATAATAACTATCATTTATAATTTAGTGAGCAGTTACAATAATAACTATAATTCAGTGAGCAGTTGCTGAGGTCCAGGCCCTCCACAGAGGCTTCATTACACTGTCCCAGATAAGCACACTAACAACCCCTAGATGGATGATGAGGGAGCTGGGTTCAGAGGTGGAGTTAGGCAAGGAAGGCTTCCTGGAGGAGGTACAAAGGGGAGGAGCTCTGTAAACCTGGAGAAGGGAGAGTGGCTGGCTGCAGGAGCCCAAGCTCTCAGGTGAGAGGGGATGAGGCAGCGAGGGAATAGGCATAGCCTTCAGGGCTGGGTTGATACGAGCTTTCTAGGTGGGCATGACACTGCCAGGTGTCAGCATGCTAAAAATTAGTCTTGTGGAGGACGGCCCCAGAGAGCTTCTGGGGAAGTCAAAACCTCACAGTTCAGCCCCATTCCTCTGAGCCATTCCTCCCACCCTGCTGCTCTGCTGGCAGAGGAGCTGGGGAGGGTGCCATCCTTCCCAGGCAGCCCCACAGCCCGCTGCCCTCTGGTCACCAGGCTCTGCCTCTGCAGGCCTTGAGCTGGGCCCTGGGGCCTCTCTGCCCCTCCCCGTTCAGGTAACAGCACAGGCCTCCTGCTGGAGCACAAAGAGGCTTGGACCCCCATGAGCTGAACCAGGCCCCTCTCCCTGCCATGTTGTGTGTGAGGTCACCAGCATTTCAGGACGTCCCCAAGACTACTCAGAATAGGAACAGGCTCGTCCTCAAGTGCCACCTGCTCTCAAGGAAGCCTGGGCCAGTTCTGTCCAGTCCTGGGCCTCAGTGTCCCTGTTTGCTGAATGAAGGGTCAGATTTAGTGGTGCACCCCTTCTGTCTCACCCCTGAGGTTTGTGGGGCCTGAGACTTGGCAGGGCTGGGCCAGGTGGGGTGAACAGTGGCACCCCAGGGAACCAAGGACAGAGCTAGTTTGGTCAAGGAGGGAGGCATGGAACCTGCTTGGCGATCCCAGGCCAGCCGGCTACCAAGGACCCCTGGGCAGCCCAGGAACTTGTCCTGCACTTAAGGGCCTCCAAGTGGCAGCTGCAGGGATGGTGGGGGGTGGGTGCCAGCTCAGGCCCTCAGGAGGCCATGTGCCCACTCCCCAAGGGAGCTGGACAGCTCATCTAGAGTGAGGGCCTAGCTCACATTCAAGTCGTTGTGTCTGAGCAAACCAGGGACCTGAAATATTCATCAAAAAGGGCTGTGAGTGGTCTGAGGCCCTGTGCCGTTCTCAGTGACAGCTTTTTTGAAATTAGTAGACTTTGTTATTCAGAGCTGTTTTAGGCTTACAGAAAATGGCACAGACGATATGGAGAGCTCCTCATACCGGCCATTCCCATTTCCCGTACACAGTCCCCCCTGTTATTGACACCCTGCGTTAGTTGGCACGTTTGTTACAGCGGATGAACCTACACTGATGACCCATCAGTATTCGCTGACGTCCCCCGGTTTACATTAGGGCTCACGCTCCGTGCTGTGCAGTTGTAGGGTTTTGGCAAATGCATAATGTCATGTATCCACCACGAGTGTCCCACAGACTCACTTCACTGCCCCAAAAACCCCCCGTGCTCCACCGGCTCATCCCCGACCCCAGGCAACCACCATGTCAGTGACATTTTCAGGCCTCCGGGTGAGTTCACACAGTGGCTCAGACACGGGGAATGGATTTGAACTGCCGCAGAGGGGGGTGCAGTTGGCGCCCGCTGGGCCCAGGCATGGGCTGCCAGCCTTCCAGGGTTAGGCTGGGAGGAAAGTCAGCAAATGGGAGCTGTGCCCTGCCCTCCTCAGCCAGTGGCCCTCACTGGGCCTGCCAGGCATGTGCCATGGACCTGGAAATGCAAAGACATACACCCCCCGGGGGGTGACCTGAAATGCCCAATCCTTCCAGTGTGCCCAGCGATGCAGGAGGTGGACACCTGTGCTGTGGGGCCAGAGAAGGGGTGGCCACCATGCTGTGCATCAGCTAGGCCAGCTTCAGGCTCCTGCCTCCTCCTACAGGCCTCTGGCCGAGGGCCACCGCCTTCCCAAGCCCAGGTTTACTTCCACTCTGTGTTTGGAGATCAGAGTAAACAGGAGAGAAATGAGTTCATGAGGTCTGGAAATGAGATGAGGTGCCTGGCACCCCAGGGGGAATTCAACAAATGTTTCCCATGACTCTGACTTCTACCATCACCACTCCTATTGCTACCAATGGTATTGTTTAAAGGGTCAGGGAGGCGTGTGGGGGGATTGTTTAAAGGGTCAGGAATGTAAGTAGGAATTTTTTAGGCAGAGTGGAAGGGTATGTCAAGAAGAGGGAATGCCAGTTGCAAAGGCTCAGAGGCACGGGCTAGCAGTGCTTGGAAGACAAGAGTGCCCAGGAGGTTGGGGACAATGGCTCCAGGTATGGTACATGCAAAGTACTTAAGAATTGTATTAAAGACTTAGGACTTCTCCAGGCAGTGGGAAGCTACAGGGACCTTGGAGCAGATGCTAACACCAGCCTTTTTGATTGTATTTACAACAGGAACAAGTGTGTGTTTTCTAAGAGCCATAGAGTTGCATGCCTTTGTGTGCTTTGGGGAAACAGGTACAGATTACCCCCCCGGGAAACGCTTCCTGGTGCCTGGACATGGGGCATGGGCTCTGGGACCCTTGGGCAGATGCCTCGGCACCTGGTGGGGGCCGGTCTGGGTTGGGGCCTCCCAGGCCCTCCATGCAGCTAGCGCCCACCCCTGCTGCTCGTCCCCTGCAGGAAAACCCCTACCTGTGCAGCAATGAGTGTGATGCCTCCAACCCCGACCTGGCCCACCCACCCCGGCTCATGTTCGACAAGGAGGACGAGGGGCTGGCCACGTACTGGCAGAGCGTCACATGGAGCCGCTACCCCAGCCCACTCGAAGCCAACATCACTCTTTCGTGGAACAAGAGTGTGGAGCTTACAGATGATGTGGTGGTGACCTTCGAGTACGGCCGGCCCACCGTCATGGTCCTGGAGAAGTCCCTGGACAACGGGCGCACGTGGCAGCCCTACCAGTTCTACGCGGAGGACTGCATGGAGGCCTTTGGCATGGCCGCCCGCCGGGCCCGCGACCTGGCATCCTCGGGTGCCCACCGGGTGCTGTGCACCGAGGAGTACTCACGCTGGGCGGGCTCCAAGAAGGAGAAGCACGTGCGCTTTGAGGTGCGGGACCGCTTTGCCATCTTCGCCGGCCCCGGCCTGCGCAGCATGGACCACCTGTACACCAGGCTGGAGAGCGCCAAAGGCCTCAAGGAGTTCTTCACCCTCACCGACCTGCGCATGAGGCTGCTGCGCCCGGCACTCGGGGGCACCTATGTGCAGCGGGAGAACCTCTACAAGTACTTCTATGCCATCTCCAACATTGAGGTCGTTGGCAGGTAAGGCTGCTGGGGCACTGGGAAAGTACCTGATACCAGGCTGTTATCTGCTGCCCAGCATGGTGCCTGGTACTGGGGTGGTACCTGGTGCCTGGAATGCTACCTGGTACCCAGGATGGTACCTGGTACCCAGAGTGGTACCTGGTGCCCAGGGTGTTACCTGGTACCTGGGATATTATCTGGTACTAGGGGTGGTACCTGGTACTGGGTGTTATCTGGTGCCCAGGATACTAGTTGGTGCCCAAGATGGTCCCTGGTACCTGTGATGTTTCTTGGTATCTGGGATGGTACCTGGTATCCAGGTTGTTACTTTATACCTAGGATGTTACCTGATACCTGGAATGGTATCTAGTATTATATCAAAAGGTTGCCTACGATGGCTAGGGCTGTATAGACAAGATGCCTGAGTTTTTCCATGGAAGGAATGAATGGGGGATCATAAACATCCTCCTTAGGGTCTGGGCTGCCTCCAGCCATGGAGTTAAAGGCCGGGAAGGGATGAGTGGGGTTGCTTAGGAGATGCTCTGTAACTGACCATCAACTCAGTGATGGGCGCTTGCATCTAGGGATCCCCAAAATCTCCTCAGGCCCAATGATTTGCTAAAAGGACTCACAGAATGTCACAAAGCTCTCATACAGCTACAGTTTATGACAATGAAAGGATTCAGATGATTAAAATCAGCAACAGGAAAGGGTGCATGGGGCAGCCTGCAGGAGACACCAACCAGTGCAAGCTTCCCGGGATCCCCTCCCAGTGCAGACATGCAGACAACACTTGATTCTCACGGCAGTGATGTATGACAACACGTGTGCAGTAGTGCCAGTCGGGGGAAGCATGCCTGGGCCTCGGTATCCGGGGTTTAGGGGGATTGTTCACATGGGTGTGGCTGACTACCCATTTGGCTGATGGTGTTCTCTAATCCCTTGAGCCAGAGGTCAGGGTAATACTGCCCAAGGCCTCCACCACTGGTCACATCATTAGCATAAACTACCTGGTGTGGCCCTGGGCCCCCAAGGAAACAAAGACACTCTTATCAGGCAGGAAAGTCCAAGGGCTCAGAGGCTCCCAGGAGCCAATGGAGGACCAGACTTCTCTCTGGAATATGCAGGGTTAGTCCGTCACTTACAGCTTCGGGGAAGAATGTTTTGAGGCCACTTTCAGGGAGACAAAAGACGAAGGAGATAAACACAGGCTTTGATCCCCAGGACTCATTATGATTGTGGATGATGAAATGGTTCCACGCCCCCCAGATCAGTTGTCCACTTGACAGGAGTGTGCTCCCCAGCTGTGTGTGTAACACCTGGTCTGTACTCAGGGGACAGGCTGGGGGAGACCCCACCCCTGAGCACCCAGGGGTCAGGCCTAAGGGGCAGTGGCGCACGATACAAGGGTTCTGCGTGTGGCTCCCGGTCCGGCAGCATCAGCATCGCTTGGAATTGTGCTAGGAATGCCTAATCTCAGGCCCCACCCCGGACCCGCTGCATCCTGCCCTCCAGGACTGGGCCCATGCTGGCATGTCCTCCGTGGGATTCTGGTGCCCTCTCAGGTCTGAGAACTGCTGGTGTCACGGTTAGGGGCATGGACTCTGAAGCCAAATGGCCTTGGTTGGATTTCCAGCTCTGCCATCCTGTGGCTGTGAGACTTTGGACAAGGATGGCTCTGTGCCTCGGTTTCCCCATCTGCAGAGTGGGGATGATACTAATCTCGCCTCTCTCTTTGGATCGTGGCGAGAGTTAAGTGAGGTAAAGTGGTGCATCACCTGGGCCAGGAGCATGGCGTAGGCCGCTGCGGGCAGGGGCTGCACCCGGAGAGCCCAGCTGGGAGGGTGTTTCCTGGGGCTTCTCTGCACAGCAGGATCTGAAGACTGCCCAAGCATATAATTACTGATGAGTGGAAAAAACAATTTGCTGCTTGTGCACAGTATAACCCCATTTTTGTAAAATACATATTATGCCTGTGTGCATGATTTCTACATCCTGAGTAGACATTAAAGAAAAGTCCGTCCACGCACAGGAAGAGCATCGTGGGCGTGGGGGAACAGCTGGAACTCATGTGGCCATGCCTGCCAGTGGGGTTGGCCAGGGGCGGCGTGAGGCTCTTGTTTTCAGCTTATGTTTGCATTTTATTTGGCTTTGACTAAGTGCGTGGATCCCAGGTGGGCCAAGGAAGGGCCAAGCAGTTCCTGAGCCGGGGTCCGGGGCAGGTGGGGCTGGGGCAGGCGCCTGTGGTTCTGACACCCGTGATTTCTAACCCTCCCTCACTTGGGCGAGATATTTTAAATCAGGGGTGTTCTGAAACCCGCCTGATGTGTGGCCGCCGTTGTGGAAGCCAGGCGTCAGGGCCCCTGCACCGCCTCTCTGAGCTGTGTCCGGGCCTGGGCCTCTGGTTGTCCAGATGACCCCTGCCTGTCCTTGGGCGGCAGTGCTCTGGTTGGTAGAAGACCTTCCCTCCACCCTACAGTCCCACCCAGCTTGGCAGCCGCAGGGTGAGAACCAGGCCCCCATGCCTTCTGGGGGTTTCGGCCCCTTTTCCCACCTGCCTTGTTTGGGCTGCTCTTCAGGAGTCTGGGCAAGGGCCTGCCCCCCACTTCATAGGCAGCCCATGTGGGGGTCCTGATGTCTGTGGCTGCAGGGTCCTGGTGGTGACAGTCAAGGCCCGTAGTGCCCCTGTAACATCAAGGGGTGACAGTCACCTCTCATAGGCGGGACCCTGAGATGCAGAAGTGGGACAGAGCCTCCCGGGAAGGGCCAGAGGGAGCCTCTTTCTTTAGCCCCTTTGAGATCAAGAGCACCGCGCTGGTGCCCGGCAGCCCGGGGCTCCAGCGAGCTGGGTTCCAGTTCCACCCCTCCGTGCCCTCTCTGGGCTAGTTTCCCACCTGTAGCATGAGGACCTGGGGCACCTGGAGCCTGTGTCTCCCTGGCAAGGTGTCAGGGTGGCCCTTGCCCGGCAGCTCCCAGCTGCCCTTGGCACCCAGCCTCTGCGGGCGGCAGGGATCAGCCGTGGTGGTGGCGAAAGTACAGCAATCAATTCACAGATAAAGTAAGTACTTCCCAGGCGGCCAGTTGGCAGGAAGGCGGCAGCCGGGCTCATGGACTGGTCAGGTCTGGTCATATGGTTCAGCAGAAGGCTGTGGCTCCTGCTTTTCCTTTTTGAATCCCAGGTGGGAAAACCCAGCTGCACCAGGGAGCCGGAGAGGCCTGGGAAGACAGCATGGGGTGGCCAAGGCATATGTAGGACCCACCAGATGGTACCCTGATGTTCCTGAATGGGCATGCTTGGCGAACTCTGGCAAAATAGCCTTGCCTGTCGGAGTCTAGGATAGGGGAGGGGTGGGGGAAAGGGCGGGCATCCTCTCTCACCCCCCAGGCACTGCCCAGGGGCAAATTCCTCTGCCCAGAAAACTTTTGGAGGCTCCAGGGACCTGTCCATTGGGCCTTTGTCAGACAGGGACAGGAAAAGAGTGAGTTCCCCGCTTCTGGGGGTATTCAAGCAGGCAGGTTTGCAGGAGGTGATGGAGAGAGGTCCTGTGCATCAGGTGAAGGTCCTGCACACCTATTCTGTACAGCAACACTGAGTGTTGATTAAGTGAACAGGCGCTACAGATTCCGTTTAAAAATGTGGTGGATGTTAGGTTCCAGGCATTGTGTTCTCACAGCCCTTTTACTGGGGAGGAGCTGCAGCCTTGGGGAGGAAGGACACCTGTCGGGGCTCAGAGACCCAGCCACCTGGACAGCCCAGCCCAGTGCCTTTCCCAGACTCTGCTGGGGCCCGTCTTCTCCTCTGAGCCCCTGGGCTGCAGGACCAGGCTGCTTTTCCCCCTCCCCCACCCCTCCCTGTCTGCTTGTCTTCTGCAAACATCCTGTTCTTATTGATCCGGTAACTGGAGCTGGAGGGGACTTAGGATGGGAACAGAAACCGCAGGAGAGAAGAGCTCTGCTGTGTGTATGCACGTGTGTGCGTGTGGGGGTGGGGTGGGGGGAGGGGTACTCAGAGAGAAGATGCCTTTCACTGACCACGTTTCAGCCCAAACCTCCTGCCAGCCTCTCCCTTGGCTGCCCCCCCAGAGAGTTGTCCTGCCTGCACTGATTCCCTGTGGCCCCCAGCTCCAGGCTGGGAGGTGGGCCTTCCTCCTTCACAACGTTAACTGTCATTTACTGAGCGATTCCTGGGGCCAAGGTCCCTCTAAGTACTTTCTGTGGGTTTCCTGCCTGAGTCCTGCCCTCTGAGGATCTCTGTCCCGAGGGTGTGGCTGTGGCCCCACTCAGCGGAAGGGAGTTGGCGGGGCCCTGGGTTCTGGCGGATGTGGACAGTCCTGCAGGCTGTGAAGATGGAACCACTGACAGTAATGCCACCCAGCACCACCAGAGAGAACCAGTGCCTCCCTTTCTCTTGCTGAGTGAATAGGATTTCCTCCTGAGAGTTTTCTCACTTTCTTATTAATTCATTCAACACATTTTTTTAAATGGGCGTTTTATTAGTTTCCTAGGGCTGCCGTAACTAAGCACCACAAACTCAGTGGGCTTAAAACAACGGAAATGTATCCCTTATAGTCCTGGAGGCTTGAAGTCTGAAGCTGAGGTGTTGGCAGGGCCGGGCTTGCTCCGCAGCCATAGGGGAGGGTCTGTTCCATCCTCACCCCTCGCCTCCGGGGGTGGCCAGCAGTCTTTGGCATTCCTGGTCTGTCTTCTCTCTGTCCGCCCGTCTCTATCTGCTGTCTCCCTGTGGGTCTTCTTAGAGGAGGAGCAGTCATATTGGACAAAGGGTGGCCCCACTCAAGTCTGACATCCTAACTTACATCTTAATCTCATCTGCAAAGACCCTACTTCCATATAAAATCACATTTACAGGCACCAAGAGTTAGAACTTCAAAATATCTTTTGGGGGGACATAATTCAACCCATAAAAGGCACCCACTATGTGCCTGACACAAGCAACGCTACAGATCCAAGAACTTCATGGGGCTCACAGCCCACTAGGGAGAGAAGCTACCACAAATGAT